GCAATCGTCTTCTCCTCTTCCCACTTCACCTTCTCTCTACATGCATGTGTGCTACTGCTTGCAATGTTTGTGCTTCTGCTTCCTTTGCTCCACCGCCACAAACACAACACACACACATCCATGCATGCGCCGCTTTGTTCATTTGTCTCACCCTTCACTCACTTGCTTCCTTCTCTCTTCCCTTTGCCTTTCCACATTCCATGTGTTGCATTGTTGCTCTGCACTTGTTGCCACATGTATGCTTCATTCACCCTTGTCTCTTCCTCTCTTCCATCCACTCACCGCCACACAGCACCCCTCCACACAACATCACACATCCTTCACTTCACACGTCACAACACAGCACCACACAACACAACCCACTGTGTGCATTCGTGCTTCCCTTCGTCACTTTCTGTCACCAACGTGTCACCACAAGCCTTGTTTGTCTATTTCACCTGCGTTCCACCACACCCTTCCTGTCTTGTTTCAATTCTTGCCACTGCTGCTGTTGTTTCCATGTGCTTGCATGCCTTCCCTTGTCTCTGTTCACTACTTTGACCGCCACTCCTCCCCTCCCCTCTCCTTACCCTCTTCTGCCTCGTTCATGTTTCATGCTGCATGTGTTACAACACATGGTAAACCCACCAAGCCCACACTGCCACCTTCTTCACCATCAGCCCTGTTCACATCCACCACCACCAGTCGCTGCAATCATCACTCACTCGCTTCATCCTTTCCCCCACACCCACGTTCACTGCTGCTGCTGCTGTCCTCACCTGCGTGCAACACCCACTCCACAGCCACACGCCCAGCTCAACACCAACCCAAGTCACATCACATCACACACACACATTGTGTTGACTGCACTGCAACCATCCACAACCATCCTCCAGCACCATCACACGATACACACAGCTGCACATGCGTGTTGCATTGTATGTTTCCACTACACTTCAGCAACACGACAGCAAGCAAATACACACAGACACACAGACACACGTGGCAAGAACAGGCGAGAAAGCATCCCCATATCAACTGCAAGCAACACACACACACAACAAGCGACAGCTCCATGCTACGCCACACCGCTTCACTCCCCTATCAGCCGCCATCATACCTTCAACCAACAACAACAGCAGCAACAGCAGCAGTGTGCATGCTGTGGCAAGAGAGAACAGAGAGAGAGAGAGAGAGAGAGAGAGAGAGAGAGAGAGAGAAAGGGAAAGGGAGGGAGGAAGGCAGAGGGATACAAGGAGAGAGACGTGCACGCTGTCAACAACAACACACACAACAACACAACACAATCAACATCACCCGCTCACGCTCCCCTCCTTCTCCAACGAGGTGCGTGATCTATGGGTGCCCCACGTCTTGCTTGCTTGTCCTGTGTCCATACTTGCTCGTGTGTCCTTGCTTGGTTGTGCGTGCCATGCCATGGGTTCCAACAAACAGCCTGCACTTCCCCTGCACAAGCGTCCATGTGTGTGTGTGTGTGAGTGTGTGTGCGTGAGTGTGTGTGCGTGTGGGGATGACAAAGAGGGAAGAGGGAAGGGAGCAGAAGAAGAAGAAGAAAAGGAGAGATGGGAGGTGCGTGAGCACAGACGATGGTGATGGGTGCACACGACGTGGTTGTGGTGAACACACACACACACACACAGAGAAGCAGCAACGCACAACAAACACAACAGACACAAACAGGGGAAACAAGAGCAGCAGTGCTGCAACACACACACACACGCACACACACGCACCAAGGGAAAGGACATCAGCCATCCAATACCCCTTGCATCCACTGGTCCATCCATGCACCAGCGGTGGTGGTGGCAGGAGAGGGAGAGGTAGAAAGGGAGAGGAGGAAGGGTGTGCCCTGCCCTGCTTGCCTGCCTGGCTTGGCTGCCTGTGTGGGCATGTGTGTCTGCACACTCACCCACTGTGTGTGTCTGCGTGTGTGTGTCAACATCCATACACAGGTGTGTGAGACAGAGGGAAGCAAGCAGCCACCACACACACACACACAGTGTGAATCACAAGCAGGCACAGCATGAACAACATGCACACAGTCACAGTCACAGTCACAAACAGACACAAGTGCAACGCACCGCGAGGTGGGCATCAGACTGCCTGTCAGCATGTGCGTGTGCGTGTGTGTTCACACACATGTTTGTGGGTCGATGCAACCCATTATCCCTCTCTGTGCATGCGTGAGCCAAATGCATCCACAGCAGCAGGACTTCCGACGCAGAGCATGCACACACAAAAGGAGCGTGCACACCTATTCCTGTTCGCCTGCTATTAACAACAAATGACAGTGCACTGGAGTGCGTGTGAGATCACAACACCCACCACAGCCACTTCCAACCTCTCCCTCCTTCGCAAATACACACAAACACCCACACAGCAGTCAATCCAATTGACAGAACTCACCCAAACTCACAGTGCCAGCGTGTCATGGGCCTGTGCAGCTCATATGTCAGCCTCACCGACCGTGGGCAACGCTTTGTGTGCCTTTGGCCCTGCACACATCCATGGTGTGCGCGCTGCTGTGCGTGTTTTCTGCTTGCACCTGTTCACCATCACACCATCACCCACCACACCCCACACAGTCCATGGAACCAAACGAGACCACCCACAACAGAACCGCCAGTGAGTGCCCGTCACAACGCGCACCCTCTCCCTCCTCTCCACCAACCCTGCGCCAGCCATGCACACAAACAACGCAACCCGCCACCTCCCACTCAAACACACAAACGCACCTTGATTCACGTTTCGCCTGCTGCTTGTTTGTGTTGTTGGTCTTGTTGATTCGTGTTTGGGCGATTTGTGGAAGATGCCACAAATAATCGCCCACTGCTGCGTTTGTGCGGCAACTGCTTTTGCTTTTGCTTGTTGAAGGGCGGACTTGCTTTGCTTGGTTGCTTTGCTTGGTTGGTTGGTTGGTTGGTTTCAATGAGACAAGAAGCAGAAGGAGAAGAAGAAGAAGGGGAACAACACTGTGTGTGTGAATGCAACGCAGGTTCACATGCCTTGCAGCCTGAGAAGGGAAGGGAGAAGGGGAGAAGAAAGGGGGGATGGAAAAGAAGAAGAAACACACAGACACACACACACACACACACACACACACACACACACAGAGCTGTGGACAGCATGCGCACCCTCTCCTCTCCTCTCTTCTTCACTTCCTCCTCCCTCTCCTCCTCACAGTCACAACAGACAACCAACAGCCACAAAGGGCTGGAAGAGAAAACAAACAAGGGGAGGGGGCAACAGCCACCCAGCCAGGTCGCCATGGAAGAAAGAGGCGAGGCGATAGAGGGGGGGGAAGGAGAACACCGTCCATCAACACACACACACGCACACACATCTGTTGGGAGCCCCATGTCTTATGTCCTTGCTTCCTCTTCCTCTTCCTTGGCCTGGGTTGAGTTGGGTTGGTTGAGGTGGCACAGCTCGCCATGGCGTGGCATGCGTGTGGGCATGGGTGTTGGACGTGGATGGGTTCCTCACTGTGTATGAAAAGGGGGTTGGATGGGAAACAGTGGAAAGGGTGGCAGCAGCAGGGAGGAGGAAGAAGGAGAAGAAGCAAGGGGAGGGGTGGATGTGAGTATACCATGCGTGAATGAACAACAACAACACATGGGCGTGGGACGATGATGATATGGTTGTGCGTGTGTGATGGCACAAGAACACAAACGTCAACCCCAATCACAAACACACACACACCTTGTCGTCGATCAACGCATGTGCCTGGCATATGCGCACACGCGCACGCACATCTGCAGTCACACACAGTCACACATGGCATTGCAGAGTGAGACGGTACAACACCATGCACACGCATACACAGCAATGCAAACACAACCACCACAAGCATTTCAACGACAACATCCCTCTCCCCATCTCCATCACCCCAAATGCACGGTCACATGACCAGGTGCACAGCCGTGGTGGTGATGATGGCCATGATGAACGCCTTCCTCCCCACTTTCCCTCAACCCCTTCCACCAAACACACACACAGCATTGCGTGCCCTCACCTCGTGCATCGTGTCGCTGTCAGCGTGATTGATGGCGATGCACACACATGTACACCCACACACACAAGCACACATCGCCGTGTGTGTTCTCGGTTGAGATGAGCAACGGAGGGAGAGAGAAATGGGTGACACGACACGATGGCCAGTCAACCCCAGCCAATCCAATCCAGCGTCCACCGCCGTGTGTTGCCTGCTGCAGTCATCATCACAATCACAATCACACGCACACGGGTACAAGCAAAAGAATAAGCCACTGATATGGGTGTCATTGTCATGTGATATTACCATCACACGATTCACGTGCATGTATGTGTACACGCATCCCCATCCCCCAACCAACATCATCGCCCTCCTATTACTTCCCTTCCATCTCCCTCCTCTCGCTCTGCACTCCCACGTCGCACCACCACCACCACCATCACCGTGTCACTTCCCCTCCTTCCCCCTGCTTCCCACCACTCGACACAACACAGCCCACCACCAGCAAACCAACCGCCAACAATCATCCTCACCTGTGCTTGATGCAGCCAGCCAGCCAGCCAATGTGTCACAGCGAGAGCCAAACAAGGGAACCGCAATCACATGCCACGGCCACCATCGTCATCACTGACGGAGCAGAAAGAGGAGATGAAGGGGGAAGAGTGGTGGGCACGGGCCGTGTCCTTCCTTGTCTTCATCGGTGCAGCCCCAAACACGGTGCACAGCACACATGCACACGCACGGCCATCATCACAGCAGCACCACCAGCAGCGAGCCAGCCTGCCTTCCTGTGAGGCAAGAAGAAACCAACCAGAGACGAACAACAACGACCGGTGATGGTGAGGACACGAAAGGAGGGACACAAGGGACCACGCATGGGAATATGCAGCATGTTGTGGGCGGGTGAACCAGATACACACAAAAACAACGAAGCAAGCACCCAACAAGCAAGCAAGCAAGCAAGCACACGATACCACCATCACAACATCCACCACTACTGCAATACCTGTGTTGGCCGCAGTCTCGAGCACGCCTCAACAGTTCCACATCACATGGGAAAGGCTGATGATGATGACAACACAGAGCAAAGGAAATCGGTTGGGAAAGGAGGAAGGATAATCGGCTGGGGAAACTCGCACACATCCGCCTGCAGCCACGCACGGACACGCATACGCACATTTGAGTTGTGTGATGGATCCATGTGAGACACACGTCAGTGCAACCACCCCACAGCCAATGACTGCTCTGGTGTGTTGTACATGCGTGTGCGTATGTGCGTGCGTATGTGTACTACCACCCCATCACCACACACACGCACACACACACACACACAGCGGCAGCGTCTCACCTTGCGCCTTCTTTTCTGGCACATTTGTGTGTGCGTGTATCGCCCTGCTCGTGTTATGAGGGCTTGGGAAGAGAACGGCCTCCGTCCTGTGCAAATCACACACATGCACACATGCACACATGCGCAAGCACAAAGAACCAAATTAGCAAGAATGACACGACGCAGTGAGCCAGCATGGCAGAAACAAACCACATCCACCTCCTTGTGCCTCATTCACATCACCTACATCATCACCTGTGCACGCACATGTCACATCCCACCACAGACACCAACACCACCACCACCACCACAAGCATCACACTTGCACATGCGTGTGCGTGCGCAAGTCCACATCCACCACAAACCACTCACCACCATCATCATCGTCGTCATGTGAGGCAACAGCACATCGACGCACATCACATCCTGTGCGTGTATGTGTGGAGAAAGAGGTGAGTTGTCTCAGAATCAGGATATCAACGACAACTACACCCATTGCCAGCACCAACAGACCCAACGACATCCAACCAACCCTTCACAATCACACACATATACATGCTGGTGTTCACACCCAACACATCACACGCCACCCACATCACCACAACCACCACCATTCATCTCACCTCCACATCCATAGCCGCAGCCGCTGCTGTTGGGGACCAACGACGACGAGGACGAGGAGGAGGAGATGGCCCAGAGGCAGAGGGCCCGTTCATCCACAATGCAGCCACATCAGGTACTGCTGTTGCTGATGGTGGAAACGGTGAAAACAAACGGCCCCTTGCCACGCCGTGTCCTTTGCTCGCTCGCTCGGCTGTTTGGTTGGTCGGTTGGATGGTGACGAGATACATGGCCCTGTGTCCAAATCAATCGAAAAAGGGGGAAGAAGAAGAAAAGACACATGAGTGGACAGAACAGACAAGGGAAGTGGGAGGCGAAGAAGGGAACACAGCGTGTCAACCAACACACACACACACACACATCTCAGTCGCCCTTCTCACCTTCATCACTCGTCATTGTCATCATCGTTGGTTCCACCGCTTCATGCGCCTCCTCAACGCTGTGAATATTGTGTGTACAGACACAAGAAGGGAGAGAATACAGGGGGTGAGGTTGACAGCGAAGCATCACCAATCACACGCCAGCTCATCCAACCACCCGCACTGACACACAACCACACGCACACATGTTGTCCCCACTCACCACCACCATGCACGCACACGCACATTGCTCACCTCTTCGTCAGAGCGACTGACATGTGCAATATCTGCCTCACGCCAGATTGGAGCTGGTGTCGGCCGGCGTGTGATGGCGGCTGTGCGGTCGATGGTGATGGTGGTGATGATGGTTATGGCCGAGCTGAGGTGGAAGAACGAAAAAGGAGAGAGAAATGGGAAAGGTGGATGATGATGCTGATGGGTCGTTCATGGCGGCTTCCTTGCCCTCTTCTGATGTGGCCCTGGTGCCCATGCAACCAACACACAACGACAAGACACAACAACATCAACACACACAAGGCACAGGCATGGCATGTGAGCACAGCAAGCGTGTTCACCTTCCTGCTGCCCCCTCTCTTTTGCTTTCCTCCTCCTCGTCCCATCACACACACACACACACACACACACACACACACACACACACACACACACACCTGCACATGATTGCGTCGCTGTGGTTGGATGTGCCCGCCATGACCATGGACGTGTGTGTCCGCAGCTGCTCCTCCAATCCATCATGTGTGCATCGCCCATCATCCTCAAACGATCCTCACACAGTCGCCGCTGCAGCCACAAGCATACATACATTGCGTGTGAGCTGCACAGCTACACTGGTGCACGAGACACAGCAGCAGCAACACCAAGCACCCACAACAGCAACACCACCAACACATGCACCATGTGCCAACCAATGAATGCGTGATGGGCTCACCTTGCTCACGCATATGGGAACACTGCATGAGCACAGCGGCGGCAGCCGAATCGGAGGAGTTGCAGCAGCAGCAGCCGGCATGCGAGCCCGCTTCCATCAACATCCTAATGTGTGCTGGTACCTCACCACCTGTGCATGTGTGTGTGTGTGCGTATGTGCGTGGCTGCAGGGAATGTGAATGGGAATAGAACACAACAGGCACAGAGCAAGCCATCACGTCAGCATAGCAGAAAGAGTGATTGACATCACACACACCACGTGTGCGCGGGCGTGTGTGTACGTGTGTGCGTGTCGGTGTGTGACCACCATCCCCCATCAACCCTCTTCCCGCGTTCACTTCAGCGCACCCCAGCACCGCCACCGCACCCATCACACAACCAACCAACCACTCATCACCACCAACATACCATGTGTGAGGCGAGTGCAGCTGGCACGCGTAGCAAGTATCCCCGACATTTCCCTCATCCTGCTTGTGCGTGCGCATCGCCTGTGAGTGTGTTTGTGTGCGAGCACCAGCATGGTGAGTGAGTGGGAGGAAGGGAAGAGGGAGCATGAATATGTGCGCAGCTACACTGCTGCTGCCACTGCTGGTGTTGTGCATGCATTTGTGTGAAGGAGGAGAAAGGGAAGAGGGAGAAAACAGAAAACAGAAGGGAAGGAACAAGACATGCTGCACCCCATCCATTCCATCCATCCCTCTTCCTCACACCACCACCACTACCATCCTCTGTCATCAGCCACACCGCACCACACCACACTCACCCAGCATCCCCCACCACACATCATCCCATCCATCCATTCATCCAACACACCTCTCCTCTCCGTTTTCCCTCTTCTTCGCCCTCACCTCTGCTGCTGCTGCCCGCCGAAAATGCAACTTGTGCTGTCGCCACCTGTTCCCAGCTGCAAACAGCCAGCAGCAGTGGGCGATGGGTTGGTTGCTTGGTTGGCTGGGGAATGTGCTCAGCAGCAAGTGGTGGTGGTGGTGCATTCTCTGCTGCTGCTGCTGCATCGGCGGTGGAGGGTGTGTTGGCTGCTGCTGCTGCTGTTGTTGTTGTGATGGCCGCCAGTGCGGGCGAGAAAGAGAGGGGAATATAAGCAGCGGCTGCAAGGTGTGGAATGTGCAGGTGTGCGGGCAGTTGTGTGAGAGAACGAAGAGTGAGACACTGCATTAAGCAAAGCAAAACAGGCAGCTGCACCACACACATGCATGTACATTGATGTGGGACAACAAGGGGAGACAGGAGCAACAGAGACAGCGACCACAAAACACGCACACTAGTGCGGTGCTCACCACATCAACACACATGCAGTGGTGCACTCACGTTGCTCATCGCTTGCTTGTCTGTGGTGTGTTGCTGGTGTTGCTGCTTCCGCAGCCGCACAGCGTGGCTGGGTGGTCATCACATGGCAGCGCCCGTCTGTTCATCCCACCAGAGCAGTGGTGGTTGGTGGAAGGGGAGGGGGTTGACAACTGCTGGCTCAAAGGCCCTCTGTGGGGCGACAGCAGAAAGGAAGGAGAAAGAAACAGACGAGAAGGGTGGTGGTGGTCTTGGTGTTGAGGATGGGAAGGGAAGGATGTGAGCAAACACACACGAAAATGAGAGGTGGTGATGATGGCGTGTGGGTGCGTGGAGAAGAGCACGTACACATAGACACACACACACACACACACACACACACACACACACACACACACACACACACACACACACACGCACGCACGCTCACCTGCCACGCGTTGTCGCCACTGAACAGGTTGATCCTGGCAGACTCCAGCGCTGACAGCAGCAAATAGCACACGAGTTGGCAGATGGTGAGAGTGGTTGAACGGACACGAGAACAAGTGAGCAACGCACACACTACACCATACTCCCCACACTCACTCGACAGCCCCCTGTCCCAACAACATACTCCCTCACCTGTGTGCACTTGGGTCGAGAGGGACTTGAAGAACTCCTCAAACATAAACACAACGCGTCTCTGCATCATCTCCACCACCTCATCAGGGATCGACCGCAGGATCCTCGGAAGCTGAACGCAGTTGTGTTTGTGTGTGTGTGTGTGTGTGTGTGTGTGTGTGTGTGTGTGTGTGTGTGTGTGTGTGTGTGTGT